GTCCCTTTAAAAGATTGCAAAAGCACAATAGGGTGGCAGAGTGTATAAGATGATTTTGGGAAAACTGAAATTCTTCTGTCTGTTCCGTTCAAAGTTTCCCCATTCGTTCATACTGAACTGTAGATAGGAAACGTTTGGGCACCTGTTGCACACGGCTTCACAGAGAAACGTGACGATGTGTCTCGGGTGTTCATCTATATGCTTTTTAACGGTCGTTTTTTTGGGTGTGGGAAAATAAATTGCAGCCTTATAAGTTTATTACTTAATTTTATGGCATAAAATCGTATCAGATTTGCAAAATTGGTTTTTTTACCTTAATCTGCCATCCTTTTTGCGATAATAATGCGTCATCTCCAACATACACTCACCTCAATTTCACGAACGGAAAGCAAAATTTTCTATTCTCTGAATGAATATAATTAAAAACTTTCTGGTCTTTTTTAATGTCCTTTGATAGTACAACACGCACAAACAAGAAGGTTTGGTCTACAGTGTTCAATAACATAGAAAATTCCTTGGATAGCGAGAAACGTTGGATTTGGCCCAACTGGGTCCACTTTTCTCTTCTATACAACCATCTGAACAGAACTCTTTTCTAGTAAACTGCATTTTGCGCCTAAAGTCTACTCAATGAACAAAACAAACAACTTCAAATGTGTGGTAAACCACGCATTCAAATTTCGATCTCCAATTTTTTGCGATAGCCAATCTACTGTGTACTGCTAAGGAGGCTGGTATACTAGGCCAGCCTGATGTGGTCCTATTCCGTTGTCTTCCAGTCCAGTCTTCACCCTAAGCACCAGCTAAACAGACGGCTCACGAACGGGATCTAAAATTCGCGTCATGAATATCACTGTCTTTCCTTCTATCAATGTCTGTAGCTGCTGACCGGGTATCTATGCCGGTTAGAGTGGGCGCAGACCCATGGAGTGAGGACCTAAAGCAAAAAAGCCTCGACTGCTTGGCAGAGGTCACAAACAGGCAGAACTGGGCGGGCCGCCCAAAATGAGAAGATATGAACTGTGAGGGTTGGTAATTTCACCAGTCCTTAGGTCTGCATGCAGGTGTCTTACCAATCAGCGGGATAGCTTCGGACGTCTGCGGAAGCTTATCGGCCACCAGTTGCAGAAACATTGTCAGCGAGAGTAGAATTGTAACACCTGTGTAAATATAAATATGTGTATGTTTGCTCAAAATGCTCGGAATATTTTGGAAGGAGTATGTAAACAGCATAATTTTTACAGTTTTGCTAAGCATGCATTACCGAGTGATATTTTTTCTCCGGCATCTGGAGGTAGCGTGAAGACGAGCAGGGCCATTCCAGAGATGAGGATGCAGGGTACAATCAGGTTAAAAACGTAGTAGAGCGCTCGACGCCGTATCACAATTTCCATTTTTATGTCAATAAAGTCGTAGTCGCAACATTCGTAGCGTTGTGCGTACCTCCGGACGACGGCGCCTGTGCGGAAATCAAGAAAAACCAAGCTTTGTTTTCTGATTTTAAAGTAAACCTACAGCAAAATTCATCTGGTGTACCTACCGCACCTGTCGTGAGGCGAAATGCTTTAAAAGCATGTTACTATCTATTTTCAGTAGCGT